ATTAGTATTATTTTATTTATTGTTATAACACCCAGAGGCCCCATTGTGCTGGATGTTGTACAATGGGAGACATGGTCCCTGACCTGAAGAGGTTACAATCTAAGGGCTAGATTCTGACTTGTATTATGTGCCCACAAAAGGGAGTACGAGGCCATTTTGCCTTCTTATGTGTGAAAAATGGACTTTGAGTCCAGGTGTCTGCTTACTTCCCACCCCAGAATAGGTGAGCATGAAATGGTCAGGGAATAAATAAAGCATTGACACCACACTATACCTCCTCCTTTCTTATTGGCTTGAGTAGCTGAACCAGAGCCGGGAGATGGTTAATGATTTACTACTATATAGACTAGGAGCAGATGTACTACCTTCTGGGAGCAAGGAGAAAGCAGAGGAGGAACTGTGATTCGTAAGTGTGTCTCTGGATCTTAATGCCTTTTAGTGCTGCTCCTGGATTAGTGCAGTTTACGCATCACCCCTTGCACAAGTTTAGTCACAGTCTAGCCCCAATTTAAGAAAGACTCAACAAATGAACCTGTACATATATACATTGGATAATTCTTATTCTCATATGTGGGTACATGAATGATTTTTGAATCTTAGTAGTGTTATCCCAATACCATATGAGTGATGTTTAATCTAAGATCTCATTCTGATAGTAATGGCTCCTGAGAGCTTGTAAATGTTAAAGATTTGCATACGAGTAAGAGTAATTAGTACACCTGGGCAAGTACTGCCAAAAAAAAAAAATGTTGGTGAACAGTTATATGAATAAAATCCACAAATTTGCATAGATGGTATCCAGAATCCCCTTTATTGCCTTATGAAAATATTGATAAAATATAACCTATCAAATACTATTTGTTGACTTAATTATTTGATGAATTTTGCCATTTGTCATAAAAAAAAACACTTAACAAAATCAGGGTTTTTTGCGGGGCGGGGGGAGCATTTGACCTGCTGCATGTACAACCAAATTTTTGGTCACAAGAATTCTGCTTGTTCAGAGACTATTTTTCTGCTAAACTCAGTATTATCATTATCTTGTCCTCCCCCTGTATCTTCATCCCCATTTCTCTGTCTTGTCCACCTGTCTGACCTTGTCTGGACTGCAAGCTTTCTGGGGAAGGGACTGTCTTTTTTTAATAAGAAAAGGAGGACTTGTGGCACCTTAGAGACTAACAAATTTATTTGAGCATTGTTAGTCTCTAAGGTGCCACAAGTCCTCCTTTTCTTTTTGCGGATACAGACTAACATGGCTGCTACTCTGAAACCTCTTTTTTTAATGCTTGTCTGCACAATGCCTAGCATAATGGGGCCCTGACTGGGCTTCCAAGGTGCTCTCATAATATAAATATAAGAAGAAGAATTTTGATGGAAAGTGGAAGTGTTTCTGAATAGTTGTGCAACCATGTATTCACAGTATTATTTCTATCAGTATTTGCCACCTTCTGGAAATCTCTGTGTGGGTTTGTGAGTGATCCTGTTAAGAAGCTGAAATATCATGTGCCCTAGTCAAGCAGGGCCTATTCCAGAGCCTACTGGAGTCAGTGAGAGTCTTCTTGTTCACTTTAATGGCCTTGGATCAACCCCCCTCAGTGTAAATAGTGAATAATGACTATCAAAAGCGGGAGTCACAGCAAACAGTTCATGAAGTACTCATGCACTGAAATTTGTCCCCATAAACTATCGATTGAACAATGAACAAACCTGATAAAATCACAGAGGATTCAGGCAGAATTCAATAACTCCTTCTTCTTGAAATTGACAGAATTTCAACTCATTTTAGTGGCTACAGGTGCAAGTGGCATGAAGAGTTAAATTTAAATTATTCAAATAACTTGTTGGCCCATCCTCGGGTAACAAGTCATTATTCTTTCTAAAAACAATAACTATCCTTTTCATCTGTTTAGCTTCAGGGAACTGAACTGCAGACAATGGTGAGCGCTGCAGGTCTAGGCTTTGGAGTGGATAAGGCTTACTCTTCCCAGGGCTTTTTTGTGGAACTTATTCTCGATAGCAGAGGTTCACAACCTTTTTCTTCCTGAGGCCCCCCCGCAACATGCTATAAAAACTCCATGACCTGCCTGTGCCACAACAGCTGGTTTTCTCCATATAAAAGCCAGGACCGGTGTTAGGGGGTAGCAAGCAGGGCAATTGCCTGAGGCCCCATGGCACAGGGCCCCCCGCGAAGCTAAGTTGCTCAGGCTTTGGCTTCAGCCTCAGGTGGCAGGGCTCAGAATCCCAGGCTTCAGACCCATGCAGTGGGGCTTTGGCTTTCTGCCTTGGGCCCCAGCAAGTCTAATGCTGGCCATACTTGGAGGGCCCCTGAAACCTGCTTACGGGCCCCCAAAGGGCACAGGACCCCCGGTTGAGAACCACTGCTCTAGGGTACATTCTCATTTCATTTTTACATCAATTAATATTACTTCTAACTAATATACATTGTGGATGTTATCAAGAATAGTTTTTATAGCTTTGGCATGGGGCCTTCAGACATATTGACAGGATAATAAATTACCTCCAGACACAAAGCTTTAAATAAAAATATTCAAACAATAGTTTAAAACAAAATCCTTCAGAGCAGACAGAGGTAAATCCTGAAAGAAGGAAAGGAGACTGGGTAAAACATTCGTTTTAATCATCCACTTCTTCCTTCCAGAAAGAGGAGGTGGACAAGCCATCTATTTAAGTCCATTTTCATTTTCTCAAGTTGCTTATTATAATTATTCTCATGCAAAATCTTCATGTCTGGATGCAAATTAATACTTACATATTTAAAGCTGGTCCCACTCCACAGACTTTGGGTCAAATCAGGAACTCCTCTAGGATCAGAGACATTTTATCATCATTATAGCATCAGTCTTTGATTTAGTTAGGGTCCAATCTTGCAAGACCATTGCATGAAGAATTTCTACTCATGCCAGTGGGACTTTCACATGGGCAGTGTCTGGACTGGGTTTATATTTTGTACCCCAAAATAAAGATGCATTAGAGAAGAAATGTGGAGACTGATTTATGATTGTAAGCCTATATTTGTGTGTCAAACTCTTTGGCAATTACTGTGCATTGTCCCAGACATAGCTCCATATTCGATGTGGTTGGAAAATTTTAATAGAAAATTTATGAAGCAGACTGGATTTCCAAGTGATTTTTTAATGAAAAATTGCGACCTGAAAAGTGGTTTACTTTTTGAAAATTGATGTTTACTGGAAAAGTTTCAGTTTTTGATTTGAAGAAACAACAAAAATATTTTCAAACTGAGAACTTTTACCAAAATCCAAAAATGTATATTGACATGGAAAACCTTTCGGTTTCCAAAACGTTTTTTCTAGTTTTGGTTTTTCATTGGAGGTCTTTCAGGATTGTCCTTCATCGTAAAAACTAAAAAATTGGGCATTTTTCGACCAGCTCTTCTGCATATAGGCAAACTAATAACTGGGAAACCTGTAAAAGTAAATGGGAGCCTTCTCTAGAGTTCCTCCTAACTGCTTGTTAGTGAGGTTCCCTGGTTTTAGTTCAGTCAGATTCTTTGGTCATAGAAAAATACCTTCCCCCCGTCCCCTTCCTTACTTGTGTAACTCTAGTGTCCTCATGGCTGAGATGGAATCTGCTCTGCAGGCAGCTCCGGCCAAGAAAAGGCTCGTGCAGGAGTGCAGCAGGGAAAGTCCCTTCCACCCGAGAGGCAGCTGTTCCACACCCCCTGGAGGAAACACACACACACCAGAGTAGTACAGTGAATATAGGAAAGGGAAATATTTATTTACAGAGGGGTGGGTGGAGAAAAAAACGGCGGGGGAAGTTAGGGGGAGCAATACAGCAGGGTTACATCCACCACGAGGCCCCACAGGCCCAGTGATACCACAATAGAAAGGGCAGACACCGAGCAATGTGGCTACACTCAGAGTTTAGGAGTTTTGGGCAAAGTTCCAGTCCGGCAGTGAGTCTTGGATGATCCTGGTTGTTTTCAACACCAATAAACTTTCCCCAGCAAACCCCTCTGGCACCGTCTTCTGCCGTGCTCTGCAAAGCCACACAGTGTGACAACCTCCACACTTAGCTAGCGACAGTTTCCCTCCTTATCCCAGTTCAAAGTCACAAGCCCCAGTACTCATGGCCCCATACAGCTCTGGGCAGCAGTGATCCTGGGTCCAGTTCCGGTTTGTCCTTCTCGGGCAATTCCTTCCTGGCACAGTGCTCCTCCTGGCTCCTGTCCTCGGGCATCCTTTTTGGCCTCTCTGTCCCTCCCAGGCTTTGGGCAGGTTCTTGACTCCTTCGTTCTGTGAGGGCCTCTTTGCTGTACCCCTTGTGTCTGGAGGTACAGACATACATCCATTCGCTCTCCTTTTTCTCACACTCCTGCAATAACCAGCACTTCCTCTTCCTCCAACCATCAGCACTTCCTTGCCCTCAGGACGACGGTTTAAAGGAGTCATGCTGTCTAAACCCCAAAGCGTTTACACTTGTGATTTAGAGGGTTTCCACATTTCTGGAATCTTTCTGTTTGATCTTGTTGATATCATGTCATTAATGAGAAGACAAACGTCACAGTGAAAACACGAACAAAGGTGCATAAAAGGCATCTCTTACTTTGTTTACTGTGTTACTGCTTTCATCTAGACCCTGTTTCAGTCGAGTATCAAGGAGGGACCATGAACTACCTAACTATTTAGGGTGGCTCGGAGTGAGAAAGCAGTCGGAAAGAGCCTGTTATATTACTTAACAGATGGAGTGCCAGGCTGGGTTTCCTTGAGGAGAAGTCAGCACTATGGTTGTCTGGGAAAAGAAATCCTAATCTTGCTTCTTTTTAACTTTTTTTGGTGGCAGCTTTAGTTTTGTATGTGTGTTTTTAGCCGATCTGTTAAACAGAATCCCTGTTCCCCTGGAGATGTTGCCTGGAGACAGAAGGAAGAAAATTACACTGGCTTGTGGCTTGTAGATTTTCTGAGAAGGCGGTCTTTCAGGAGTGTCTTGGTTTTTTCTGCTTTATTCACGCCTTTCAATAGCTCCCAGCTTGCCCGAGGAAGAAATTTGAGGCCTGTCAGTGTTGCTCTGACTCTCCCAGAGGGGCTTCTTGAGACAGACAAAAGGCTCTTCATCCTCTCAGGGGCAGTTCATCCACAAGGGTTCCTAGCACGGCGTGCTGGAAGTGAAGCATCAGATAAGAGGCTGCCATAATAGCCCTGGTTTTGTTTTGTTTTTAAACAGTGCTCATATTCAAGAATTTTTTTTGATCAGATGAGCAAACACAAGGGCAGGCTGGGACAAGTGTTAGCAATGGAAAGGATGGAGTAATACACAAGTACTCGAAACCAAATGCCACTGTATGCACAATAATAATGTGAGTGGAGACAGATTTATATCTTCATTGAGCTATTTTATTTCTTTAAGAAAATAGTTTTAAATTGTGCATTGCTTGCTCAAACAGACACCTGGTGAAAATCTTATGTTGCTACTTCAGTGAGTTTGAGGTCCTGCCATAGGATTAATGCTGGGAGATCCCACTGGCTGCATGAAGACTATTGACCTCAAGAGGGTCACCTACCAGCATCCTGTTGAAGTGCCTTGTATAGTTATTTTAGTAGCTATTTGAAGAATTAAAGTAACTATGTCTACACTTACGGGGGATCGACGCTGTGGAGATTGATGCACCCACTAAATCGACCATGGATTGCTCTCCCGTCGACTCTGGTACTCCACTGTTACTAGAAGCATAAGGTAAGTTGACGGGAGAGTTTCTCCCATTGACCCAGGGTGGTGTGGACACCGCAACAAGTTGACCTAAGGTACATTGACTCCAGTTACATCATTCACGTAGCTGGAGTTGAATAACTTAGGTCAACTTACTCCTGTAGTATAGACCAGGCCTAACAGAACTTGTCTTGCTTGTTTAAATGTGTAAAAGTGCCATATAATGTTCTGGGGCATTTTATAAACATTATAAAATAAGTATTAATGGATCCCAAACATCATTTAAAAAAGCCTTTTCGTCCACCAAAACAAACTGCTCCATATCCACCCACTGTATATCCCTTATTAACCTCCTTCATTTTCCCCACCTTGACACTCTCACACAAAAAGTGTGGTTGGGGAAAATAGATAAACTTAAAACATGTCCTAAAGGTCCCGCAATCCTACCTAGCTTTGGTTGGACCCAGGGTGAAAGAGCATTGTAGAATCAGGACTTTTCTAAATGGGGAAATTGATTAGCACAGCTATAGTGGAGAAATCATATTAGAATAAAGTAATTTTTGTTCTGGAATTGAATGTCACAGGGGGAGTTATACCAACATGACTATGGAGGTAAAATTATTCCACTGTAACAATGCTGGTCAGTTTCCCTGCATAAAAGAGCCATAAAGGCATACTCACCAAAAACACCCTACTACTGTCTCCATCCCCTTTAAACCAGGGAAGCCCCACAATAGACACAGTATCACACAGGGATAGAGACAGGGCCAAAATTTCCCCTGCTTTGTGCTATTCCACCAGTGCAAAGCTGCCCTAAAAGTCTGCTTAACAAGGGGCAGTGCAAGGATGTATCTGAGCCCTAGATCCGGATGTCCTAGGTGCATGTAATAGTCCCCTTCTGATCATTTGCAGCCACCTTTGCACCCCTTCCTCCAGAGTTGCATCAAGCTTTCCTCTAACAGACCCACAGTTCCAGGCCATTATTTCCAAGACAGCGGGGACTCAAGTTGTTATTAAATATCCATAATTTCTGACTGCTAAATGATAGTTTGCTATATGAACATTATAGTAATTAACAATAACTTTATAAAAAGTTAATAGAGTAGATTTTTTATTTGTAGAACAGTCTGTAATCTAATATTGACCTACATAATGTACAAATACACAAGCCATGCTATTAGCTGCATAGAAAAAAAAAATCCTGCAAATATTACTGTATTAGACTGCCAACATTTCCACACTACAATTAAAATATATGTTCTACAAGTCTGAATGCTTAGGCAGCCTTTTCACATTCCCCACTCAGTGACTTCACTGGGAGTCTGGCCTTAGTAAAGACTTCAGGATTTGGCCTTGAATCGTTCAGAATGAGTTTTAAAGGAAACAAATGTGCAATTTGCACATACAAAGCAAGGGTGTGTCTACACAGCAATGTAAACCTGGGATTGAGCTTGGGCTCAAACCTAACCCCTAACACCAATTATGCTAACCTAGGGCTCAGACCTAGGACCCAGGACCCTGCATGGCTGGAGGGCAAGCCCATGTTAAGTTGGGACCCTGGGTCCAAGCCCTATTGCTTTCCTGTGTGCACGCAGCCCCAGCTTGATTTGGGTCCCAGAAGTCCTCAGGATGTATTGTTCCTGGCGGCAGAGGAGAAGTGCTGCAGGCAACCAGCGTAGTGGCTAGAAGCGCTACTACTGCCTGATCAAGCACGCTCCTTCTGACTCTGGCTCCTCCTTGCCGCTGCATGGAGCTTGCCTGGAGCAGGGAGCCAAGCTGACAGGCGGAAGGCGGGTCCTGGCCACTGGTATGTTGGGGGTTATCCCTTCCCTGGCTGTGCTGAGCTAGAAGCTCTGCTGCTTCCCCTCCTGCAGCCGGCCCCAAAACTTCCTTACAGCGAGGAGGCGCCAGAGCCCCTGCTGTGGGAGGCTGCAGGGAGGTTTTGGGGCAGGCTCCCATTCACCGCCCTCACAGTACATGCAGCACCAGCGAGGGCAGTGGGGGCCTGGGAGAAAGAGCCAGAGAGCAGAGCAGGGACTAAGGGGCTGCCCTGCAGGGAGAGGAAACAACAGAGCTCCCAGCTCAGCATGGCCAGGAAAGGGATGACCACCCAATACCCTGGCTACTCCCCCTCCTTGAGGGGCAGCTACCTGGTCCCTGCTCTGCTGTCTTGTCCCTGCTGCCCTCCCTGGGGCTGTGTATGCAGAGGTGCCTTGGCAGCATGCACTGTCAGGGAAGTGAGTGGGAGCCAGCCCCAAAACCTCCCCACAGCCTCCTAGGGATCCCTTATACCTGCCTCCCAGGGTGCAGCAGGGGCAGGAGTAAGGGATCCTGTGGGGTGCTGGAGCACACTGCACCCCAAGTCCTAGGAATGCACTTCACCGCTCCACAGCCGGCAACAGCCAGGCTGGGGTGTGTGTGTTCTTCCTCTGAACCCTACATTTTATGTCAAACTTCATAACAAACAGACAAAAATAAATAAAAAAACAACCAAACAAAAACATCTTCATTGAGCATCCCATGTTAAAAGTTAACAATTGCAAAGTTTCATTTTAATAGTCTGACAGGTCTGGAGACTAATGTGCCAATTATCCTCAGAAAAGGTACACATGGGCGTTTTCCTGCCAATATAACTCAGCCTTGCGCTGGACAGCCCTATTCTCAGATTAGATGGTAGTCCAGTATAAACCATTCTCAAACTCCAGTCATTCTACTGAGACAGCCACTAAAGGAGCTAATTATGCAGTTTATGCACTCATGTGCTCCTTATGGGCACCTGAGTCCCATCAATAGCAGTGCCTCAATTAGGAAATGGGGGGTAGGGGGCAGTAGAGTTTCCCCCACAGTGCAACACATTCGTAGGGCTAGAGTGTCAACACCTGGGAGGAGGGGGCCCTAGGCACTCTGGGAAAGGGTTCCTTTGACTTAGAATCATAGAATCATAGGGTTAGAAGGGACCGCAAGGGTCATCTAGTCTAATCACCTGCCAAAATGCAGGATTTGTTGAGTCTAAACGATTTAAGACAAATGGCTATCCAGCCTCCTTTTGAAATCCTCCAGGGAAGGAGCTTCTACAGCTGCCCTAGGCAGCCTGTTCCATTGTCCTACTATTCTTACAGTTGGGAAGTTTTTCCTGAGGTTTAATTTAAGTCTGCTATGCTGTAGTTATAACCATTGCCTCTTGTCCTGCTCACGGTGGCAAGAGAGAACAACTTTTCTCCATCTTTTTTATGGCAGCTTTTCAAGTATTTGAAGACCATTATCATACCCCGCCCCAGTCTCCTCTTTTCCAAACTAAATATACCCAGTTTCTTCAGCCTATGCTCAAATGGCTTGAGTTCCATCCCTTTAATCATCTTTGCCACTCGCCTCTCAATCCTTTCCAGTTTCTCTACATCCTTTCTATACATTGGTGACCAAAACTGGACACAGTACTCCTGCTGAGGCCTAACCAGTGCTGAATTGAGCGGTACTCTCACCTCCTGTGATATGCATGCTATGTCTCTATTAATACAACCTGAAATTGGACTTGCTTTTTTTGTAACAGCATCGCACTGGTGACTCATGCTGAGGTTGTGATCCACCACAGCTCCCAAAGCCTTCTCAGCAGTGTTGTTGTCATGTCAATTTCCCCCCATTCTGCATTTGTGCATTTGGTTTTTCTTCCCCAAGTGTAGCACCTTACATTTGTCTTTGCTGAATTTCATTCTGTTGTTTATAGCTCAGTTCTCCAGTTTATCAAGATTCCTTTGAATTTTAGCTCTATCCTCCAAAGTGTTTGCAACCCCCTCAGCTTTACATCATCTGCAGATATGATCAGTATGCTCTCTATACCTACATCCAGGACATTAATAAAGATGTTAAATAACACCGGATCCAGAACAAATCCTGTGGAACCCCACTTGAGACTGCCTTCCAATTTGACATCATTCCATTAATAGTTGCTGTTTGCTGTTGTTTAACCAATTATGTATCCAGTTAATGGTAGTTCTGCTGAGCCCACATTTCTCCAGCTTACTTATCAGAATGTCATGTGGGAGTGTGTCAAATGCCTTGCTCAAGTCCAGGTATATTACGTCCACTGCATTCCCTCTATCCACCAAACCGTTTACCCTGTCAAAGAAGGAAATCAAACTAGTTTGGCATGATTGTTCTTAGTAAATCCATGCTGGCTGCTAGTGATTATCCCTTTGTCTTCCAGGTATTCAGAAATAGAATGATGTATACATTGCTCTGGTAGCTTCCCACATATTGAAGTCAGGCGAACTGGTCTATAGTTCACTGGCTCCACCTTTTACTCCTTTTTAAAGATGGGCACTGCTTTAGTCCTTCTCCAATCTGGGACCTCTCCTGTCATCCATGAGTTTGTGAATATTATTGCTAGTGGCTCTGAGATTTCTTCAGCTAATTTCTTCAACACCCTGAGGTGAATAGCATCAGGCCCTGCTGACTTGAATTCATTCAAATTAGTTAGAAGATCTGTGATGTGTTCTTTACTTATCCTGATCTGCATCCCTTCCCCTTTATTGTCTATGGTAACTTTGCTAGTCACCCAGTCACCTGTTATTTTTTTGTGAGAAGACAAGCAAAGTAGGCATTGAACAGCTCTGCCTTCCTATCATTTTCCATTACCAACTCACCTTCTCCATTGAGCAGAGGGCCCACACCATGCCTGGTCTTTCTTTTTTGTCTGACATATTTGTAGAACCCCTTCCTGTTGTCTCTAACATTTCTTGCCAGCTTAGCTCATTCTTTACCTTGGCTTTCCTGATTTTTGTCTCTACACGCTCATGTAGCAGACTTGGGTCTGTGCACTGCAGTGTGGATGCCAGAACCCTAGGTTCAAGCATGGGTCATAAAATACTGAAGTTAGGGTTAAAATGCAACATAGACACTTGAACCCAGGGTTCCCTGACGTAGGTCAGCTGACTCGAGTCCTACTAACCTTAGGCTTACATTGCTGTGTAGACATACCCCAAGAGAACAGGGAGAACATGGGGGAAGGAATATCATTGTTGTGTTAGCAAAGCTAGTCAATGATATGTGCAATATCTTTATTTAGTTAAAGCAGCTTGACAGAAGGAGTTATTTTGCACTTCTTAACATATCTTTGTCTTCCAAATTTTGCTGACATCGTTTCCTCTTTGCTGTATTGTTCCCAGTAGAAAGGGTAGGTCATTTGCAGTAGGGGCATGGATATTGGTATGAAGGACAAGAGTCATGACTGAAAATATAGGATACATATTAAGGCTTGGCATATGGTAGTGGAGACTTTAGGGAAACAATGTGGTTAAAGATGGAAAAAAGAACTGAATCATAAATCATGAGAGAACAGATTTTTACCCTGAGATATATTTGTTCTCCTTCCTAGCCCAATGAACTGAAAATATAATATGTTTTTTGTTAAATTGGACTCCCCACACAATGATGTCTTCAAGATTTTGGTCCCACTCTACAGGATTCATCTGAGGTCTGCAGCAGGCATTGCGTCTGAACTTGTCCCAAAACCTGCCCAAACTTTGGGGATGTGTTGATTCATCTGATTAGAACTTCAGGACTTGGGCCTCTCTCAATAATGGGCTGAATTGCTATACAGAATCTGAGCAACTCATGCTTTGGGGAAGTTTGGATTTAGATGTGATTGTGGATCTGGGCGTTGCCACTTGGATTCATTGCTACTCTTAAATAATATTACCACTGTAAATAACACCGAGCTCAAAATAGTAAAGATTTAAAAGACAGTAGCATCAGACATTCAAATGTTGGTATTTCAGTGTTTGTCACCCTGATACTTTCACCTTCACTGTATAATATCATTGTATAAAGGGGATGAAAGCTAAACTTTGATGTTTTGTTTTGTTTTTGCAGTGGTGCTCTTCTAAAGAAGATACTAAGTCGGCCATGCTTGAGCCCAATTTCTGTTGCATTCTGTAAAGTTGAGCAGTAAGTTTTACTGGCATGCGTATTTGCAGAAAGCAAATGTTAGAGTTGCCTGCAAGGGAAGGTCTTCTGGTTAAAGCACTGGGTTGGGATACAAGAGATATGGGTTCAGTTCTCAGCTCTGCCGGAGGCTTCCTGTTTGTCCTTGGGCAAATGATATAATCTCTCTGTCCCTCCTCTGTAAAATAAGGATAATAATAATTGCCTACCTCTCCTGGGGTACTGTAAGGATACATTTTTTAACGTCAGGGAGGAGCTCAGGTACTGTGGAGATGGACCAACTAATTCCTATATGGATATATGTACTCTCAACCTGAATTTGCACATGCCAGTATTCAGGCCAGAAGTGATTGTCCATTCAGGGATCATAAAAGGACTGATCTGACCATTCATGAACGCCCATCATTACTTTTTGAATATTCATGATCAATGCATAAAATAAAATATTTGGTGTATAATATCAGAGTGAATAAATTCTAGGAAACTGCCATCGGCAGTTCCATGGATGTTCTGCAAGCAGAAAAAGGGGCTAAATTCGCTGAATAAATTACTCCTCGTCAATCATTTGGTCAGTTCTATGAAATATCATCATCGTCATAACACTGTGTTACCAAACAGCGATGTTGAGTTACAACATAGTGATGTGTCCATTGTGAAATTGTGATGCATCACCACTCTGTGCTGCAGCAAATACCAAGAAATCACAGCACAAATGATTCAACTTTGTGACAAGATGACTTTGACCTGGAGGATAAAGTTGGAAAAAGCAGCCAATTCTGCTCTGCAAATTGCCTCAAAATGCACCTCCATCATGATCTCCAAGTTCTTCATATCTAGTCCAGAACTGGGCCTCTCCCCAGCAAGTCACTGCTTAATTAGGTGATGGTAGTTTTTGAGAAGTAGACAAATGTCCACTAGGGACTAGACTGAAATTACCAGAGTTATTTTACCTGCAACCTACTTTGAATCTAGGTCTCTAGAAGTGAAAGGCAGGCAATTGCATTAACCCATGTTTTTCTAAGCCCTTGATCATTTGCCTTTCAAATTAGGACTATTTTTGAAAATTTCCATCCACCTCTAGAAACTTTTTTGTAAGAGGAAATGGGACTTTTGCATCCCAGCAAATCCTAAAGAAAATGAATCACTGCAAGCTCTTTCCTAAAAGCCATCACAATTTGGATATTTTTGTATCCTGTAGCTGTCCGTAGTCTATCCCTAATTTAATTCCTTCCAGCACAAGGAACTGCTATCAGAAAATTGCCCTCCATGTGTCCCATCAGGTGCTCTTATAGCCTGGTTACCAAAAAAAACATTGTTTGGTTAACCATTTTGGGTACTGATTTGCATTGCACTGCAGATTTCCCACTAATCCCTTTATGCTTAGATGGAATTCATCAGTTAACAAAAGTAGTTAAACATATACCATTAAAGGCTAAATGCTTAGGGATTGCTCAAAATCCACAGATGCTTCTTGAAAGAGCTTTGGTTCACTGCACAGCCAGTAGTAATGTTGTCTGGGCTGAACATAGCTGAAGAGATATGTGGCTGATGTAACTTTGGAAGGTCACAGTGGCTGTATTTGCTGGAGCTTATTATTAGCAGGAAACTCTATTTTTGCTATCGAGTGTGCTTGTCAAATGCAGGCTCTTTATCAAGGGGCACTGAAGAAGTGATATTCCCTGAGAAGCTGTCCTTCTTATGACCGTTCAATAGTATCCATAAATGAAGATTTAATGTGTTTTGTGTGGAAAACAGAATCTGTATTCCATCCATTTTGAGTCACAGGAAAACAAAAGCATAAGCAGCACTGAGCCCTCTCTCCACGGATAATTTTGTGAAGAGCAGCAGGATTTTGGCAGCATATCTGGCTTCAGAAAACAACCACAGTTATAAAATACAGGAGTTTAGGGGTGGTATGGTTAGTGAAAATGGCATATTTTGAGGCACAGACTTCAGTGATTCCTGAAGTTCCCTTCTTTATTTTCCAGTTTTATTTTTTTTTTCTGTGTATCATTTTCTTTCTTTTCCATGTGTTGTACATCTGCTCTGCAGGCTCCAGCCAGGAGAATAGCCATATGAGGACCTGGAAATCTCTTCTGTATTGATGCCAGAAGACAACTTTATATTCATTCCAAATGGCATGAAGAACCATTTGTCAGTTTTCCCTTTACCTCCCTTCTAGCGACTTAAATGTATAATGTTGTCTAAAACACCAGAAAATAACCTCTTTGGTGACAAATTTCAATCTTCATGTTAGTTTAGTTCCTAAAACACTGAAAAACGTAAGGCCAGAAAGTCCCACTCCTTAACCCTCTGTGAACAAGCAGAAGGACTAACCTCCCACTCCATTGTTTTCAGTAGTTTTCACCCTTGTTTCTTCTGGCTTTTTTTTTCTCCGTAGCGATATTGTTCTCTGGAGGTGGATATATTCATTTAAAATTCCTCCAAAGTCTGACCATTAGCTTAAGTTAATGTTCAAACCTCTGCATTGCCTTCAGAATTTTCAGTGAGGTTCATATTAATTTTCAAGAGATATAAATCAGGGGACAGTGTACAGGAAAGACAGCCGGCTTTAAAATGGCTACACCTGACTCACATATCTACAGAGAAGTGGCTTATATAGATATAGTTGCTTCATGTCTGTCTCCTAGGAATTGCTTGTCAGAAAATGAAAAGTCAAAGAAGGTGAACTTGAATTGTATTGGACAGAGCAGTGTTTAGAAAAAAAGAATCTAAGGGCCCAATCATATTCTTATTCAAATCAACAACAAACCATCCATTCATTTCAAAGGGAGCAGAGCTGGGTACAATATTCTTAGGCATAAATAGCTATTGGAAGGTAAATGTGAACTTGGAACAAACACTAGTTTCACATATGAATCTGGTATTAAAGGAATGTGGGATTTGTTCACAGAGGGTGAAATTCCCTTCACTTGCATAATGCTCAAATAATCTGGTTTATGCTGGTGAAATGCAGGCAAAATCCACCTTCCTTGCTCCCTAGCATGGGCTCCGGGATTCAGCACAGTCCTAGCACTGCCCACTACCAATGGCCATAGATAGACTCTCCCTGCTACTTGCACAGAATGTTGGATTTACATGTCAATCAGCCCCCAGTACCATGCCAGCCTATGCACAGCTGGTGCAGCGACCTCTTGGGCTGATGTTGCAGTCTGAATGGTTGTGTGGATTGGGAGGAGTGTACAGGCACAGAAACTCATGCTTGGGAAGCTGAACAGAAACGTATTGCAATCACACTGAAACCATAATTTACAGTAACTTCTCCGGATATCCCGCCCTTGATTCGTCCAGAACATGGTTTGGACTGGGCATCTCTGAGTGTCCAATGGTCACCCCCTCATGCTGAAAGGCTCAGTCATCTCCCCACTACAACAAAAGCTCCTCCATCTAACCCCATTTATTTTTTAACCTTCTAGATTTGGCTCTCCTGTCTCCACCTAATCTGCTTATTTGCCAGAGGTAACTGCTTATTTGCCAGATGGGAGTTACAATGAACATCTCCCCCCAGTGGTCCAGGTTGGAAATACATCTCCTATTTTAATAGTGGTCTGATTATCATTATACTCTCCACAAATAAATATCAGTTCAGAAAATGTTCACAGCCTTACACTGATCCTCTGTACTCTCTGTTTCACACAGAGAAAACCCAGATGGCAGCAACAGGAACAACTGGTATACAGTGTTCAAGCCCTGTACTTTGGAATACTGTCACAGTTTGTGTTTGGTAGCAACAGTAAGCATTAATCCACAGGGAATATAGGTACTTCTCAGAGGATGTAATGTAATAGGTACATTTTTTTTCTCTATACACGATATGGCATACACCATGTTAGATACACAGGACATACACCTGTAGTCTCTTTTATCTTATATTTGGAGCGTAAACGCTTTGGGCCAAAGACCATCTTTCTGTTCTGTGTTTATACAGTGGCTACCATAATATGGTTCTGGTCTGTGGCTGAGACTGCTAGGTACTTCCACAATATAAATAATACAAATAGTACATGGGGTGGGGAAATTGGGAATAGTAATGCTAACTAAACATGAAATGATTGTCTTGATCTGCCATGCAGTCCTCTTTAATCCTTAACATTTGCTGTGTTTTCAATCAGCTTTTCCAATGTTACTTGCCATCTCCCTAATTGTTAAAGTTGTTTTGAGTCTATCTTTTAAAACAGGTTGTTCTTGTTGGGTTCACCACTTCATATCTGACTTCAGACACTTCTGTTCTGGCACAATCTTAATTTCCCCTCAGTATTCCTTTCGGATTCCCTAGCTAATGTCTGTCTGCTTGTGGAATCTTTTCCTGTTACTTCTTTGTAAATTCCAGAGCAAATAACATGTATTGTTTTTTTTTTTAGAAATACCCTCCTCATTATCCCAGCCTTCTCTAACAGGCTCTCTTTTCTTTTTCGCTGGTCTTTGGTTATTTATGCATGTGAAAATACATCTCATTTTTATGGTGTTGAATTAACAGTGCAAATGTTATCTCTGATTCTCCTTAATATTGTCTGTCTCTTTTGCTGTTCACTAATGGCCAGATTCTTTCCCTCCTTGTTCATGTTGAATCGTACCTTGCTCCATGAGAAGCCCCGTTATTGTCAATAGGACTACACATAGAGTAGAATATCACTCACTGTAGGAGTGGCAAAGCTTGGCACTAAATTAATATTGTTTTTCTTCTCTATCTCTATTTCTTTTTTATATGCCTGACTTCAGTGGGAACTGGATCAGGAATTGACACTCAGTTCTAGATTGTTTAGTGTTCCAAATTTCATTCTCTAGAATGTAAGCAGAATACATTCAAGGGTTGCCTTCATTAAACGGTGTGTGTGGGGGGAAGGAGTGAACGGAGGGAGGAATCAATTTTCAAATGGAAGATGACAAAGCCAACTTTAATATTCTTCCCTTATCTTAATTTCCTCTTGGTTTACTTGATTAGGAGAAAATAGTTTGAAATATAGAAGGACCCTCATAAACTT